GTCGATGTCTGCATGTAGAGACAAGTTCGTTGCGCTTGTTCAGTGTTGCCATGTGAGGCATACAGATTAAAAAGAACTTCTCTGTTGTACATAGATTGCAACGTTTCGTAAGGTTGGTGTACGATTTTGCTTTAGCGAGTATTTTCCACTTGCTATTGAATTCCTTATTTGCCTCTTTTAGCTGCCACAGGTACTTGCTTAGCTCAGTCTCATTCCTTGTCTTTTCATGTCTGAATGACATCAGGTGGTTTCTGTATCTTGCCTTGAACTGAGTAGCTGTGAGACCGATGTATGTCTCTTTTTTGTCTCCGGTTGTGACTGTGGCTTGGTACACGACTTCACTAACCAGGCATTCTCCGTTTAGCGGGCAGTCTTCTTTTCTCCTACAGCTACACGTGTTTCCTTCGTTTTTCTGTGGCTGCGCTGTTTCTGCTATCTTCAGGATGGCTTTGTTGTGGCCATCTATTGTCTGCTTGACGTTGAGCATGCAGCTGTAGCTTAGATTTATGGTGTTCCTGTTGAAAGTTTTCCTCAGTTTGTGGCCCGCTGGGAAAGATATTTCAATGAGGCTGATGAACGCGCATCCGATGTTGGTTCTGACGCTTTTGTTATATGGTGGATTAAACCATATAACATTTCTTTGTCGTTTGCCTTTCTGTGATGGTGGTTGCTGTGGTGGTGGCGTGAATTCTAGTTTAAAAGCATAGCCACTCTTTCGTAATGCTTCCTGATACGGAGCCGAGGCTTCATTAAAAACCTCGTGGTCGGAAGAAATGCTGGATAGCTGCCGGTTAATTGCTACGGATTCCTGAGGATGTTTGGGTGGGTGGTTCGATTGGCTGTGAACGTATACGTAAAGCGGGGTGGTGGATGATTTGGAGTATGGTTTGAATTTTCCAGTGTTTAAATCCAGTGTTACATCTAGGAAGTTAACAACTTTCTTGTTTGAATCAACTGTGATTTTTAGGTTGTTGTTCGCAAATATTTGTCATATTTGTTTTTTTTGCTTTCTCTATCTACCTTGGTGTTTGATTGAGTACGGCACGCCCGTCATCTCTGTAAAGGCCGATTTCGATGCCAGGGATGTGCTTTAGCTGCGACAGGAGATAACAACCCACCAGTCCACAAGTCTCCGCTCCGTCGTAGCTTCCCATGGTTACGTCAAAATTTGATGTTGAACTTCTCTTTTCCCATGGTTGGCCTTTGCTGAATAGCAGGGAGTGCTTGGAATTGATGACTGCTTGTCGTTCGTTTATATATGTATATAAATTTAAAGTATGCATAATGTATGCATCAGGTTCAGTGCTTGAGAGGAGCCCCGTATGAATCACCTGCTGCTCCTATGACGTATAATGCGAGTACTGACTGTGTTGAATTTGGCGTTTTTGCCGCAAGATATTAAAACTGCCGTATTAAATTGATTCAGACGCTGCTCTTTTACCGTAAGTAATTCATCAGTTAGGTTCGGCAAATGAGTGGAGAGGCGTCTGAACCGGGCCTTAGCTTTTCGTTTTTCTCCGTGCTGGTAACATTACGTCAGTTCAGTTTTTAGAAGAAGAGAATATGGAAGTAACGACCAAAGAGAACTGGAAAATGAAAAATGGGAACCAAACTTAACTTGGACCCTAGCCCTATCAGTAAATTTATTACCCATTCTCTTTCTTGTTTCTATTTCCATTTTCTCGTTGCCCTTGCTCGTTACCCGTTCCCGGTTCTTTGTTTTAGTAACATCGGATATTAGGAGGGACAAGAGGAACCCACAATCCTAAAATGCTGGTGGTTATTACGTATGCACCGCATATCACTGATGTATGCATGGAGTCAGCTTCATTTTGTTTTCCACTAAGGGCGCGTTCCATTTGTTAGAACAGATCGGCCAGACCATTCAAGAAATCCAGAATTTCACTTTTAATCAAAACTATCCAGCCAGATCCGTCAGATCCTAAATATCGTGCATGAAGGAAATGGGGTTTCAACAAAACTCTTGAAAAAAAAAAAACATTTTTCATTGTCAAAATGACTGGTCCAGTTATGGTCCCGACGGCCTGTTCTGACTTTTGAGTAAGCGCCCTAAGATTACGGAGTTTTAGCAACGACGACGGCGACGGCAGCGAAAACGTCACTTTAAAATGAATTAGCGTTTTTTCAAACTTTTTCGTGTTTATTCCAATTCGCTGAAAATGTCTTATGCAGGCAAATTTCCCTGGATTTGATTTCGTGGGGACCGCACTCAAAAGTTTAGAAGGAGAAAGAAAAATTCGTCGTCGCTTGTTTACGCGCGTCCTCCATTTAACATGAAGTTAGGCATTTTCACGTCGTAGTCGTGCAGTAACGGCAAAGAAATATACAAAAGAGCGTGATACACATGCAAACTTGTTGTTTTGCTTAATAAATTAACCTATTGCTATTTTGACGTTCTCGTTGCAATCGCCATCGTCGTTGCTAAAAATCTTTGTGAATGGAATGCATTGAACGTAATCTGATCACACGCGTTTGGACCTTCTGTTACTCGGAATTTAATCACACATGTTTTGACCATGACTTGAATCGTATACGCAATGCCCAGCGTTGGAGCAAAGCGTTTTTACCTTCGATCTTTGTCGCCCGCACTCCGTATCCTTCGGTTATTACTAGTTTCAACAAATTTTATGTCTTTGGTTTTCCTTTTTCTGTTGTTTCTTAACTCAGCTTGTCAACAAGGGTGGATTGGCAACGGGACGTCGTGTTATAAATCGTTTTCGTCATCTAAAACTTGGGAAAATGCGAAGGAGGAATGCGAAAAATGGCATGCCAAATTGGTAAAGGTTGAATCTCGCGAGGAAAATGATTTCATAAAAACGGAAGTTATGGCGGCAGACAAACACGATTATTACTGGATTGGACTTTCTGACTCTGACAATGAAGATGACTGGAAGTGGACGGACGGAACTGAATTGGATTTGGATGGGTACAAAAACTGGAAAGAAAGCCAGCCGGACAATTACGCTGATAACGAGGATTGTGTAGTGATAGGAATGACACCGTCCGATCCGTTGTATTCCGGGAAGTGGGCTGATATTCCGTGCTCAAGTAAACGGAAATACATTTGTGAGAATCCATAGCAACTACTATCAACGTCTTACTTTAGAAAGCTGGTTTACTATCTTAGAACAAACGCCACTGAATCGTAGCCAACAGTTACCAGCGCCGTACAAACGACTTATAGACGAGATCAAGCAAAACTAACTACGAGAGAATGACAATAGACGATTGTTTAACTGTGACAATAGACGGATCGAAACGCACCAATTACTGATTACGAGTCTTCATAGCCGATAACATCACGGCTTAACTGACAAACGACCAATAACATCACGACGTAATTGACCAATCAAATCAATAACCAGAGTATAATACCATCAACTGACGTGATACATCTCGCTTGACTCTGAAGAGGACTACCGCACAGGTTGTCGAAACGTCAGTCACTGTCAACAACAACAGTCCTATTCAGGACTACGTTCACCCGGACGATCAAACTCAAACTACTTTTGAAATGACTCCTGGGTTCAAACCTTTCACAATCCATAGCATGTTGGATACGATGTCACTAAATGCGTCTATCAACATGAGCAGACGTTACAAAAACTAGCATAATTATTGGCATAATTTTAGAAAGATGCAAGCACTACTAGTAACATATTGATATGCTAATTTGCGAGCACAATCTGGAAAAAAAAGTAGACGGCCTATGACTGGCCCGTTAAAATAAGCTATTGTCCATTTGCCAATTGTAAAGTTGAAAGGAAATTCGAAATGCACGTCCAATGATTTGTTGAGTTCGTTAGTTCGTTGGGTGCTCAGAACAAGGATCTCGGCACTGCTCCCCAGACGTTACTAACTGGGGATAAATTAAGTCTGTGACGCAGGCTAAATGAAAGCCCGCAAACCAACCTCGTGCCCAGGGCGCTTTTCCCTGGCTTTGGAGGTAGAAGCCAGGGAAAAGCGCCCTGGGGACGAGGTTGCCAGCAAACAAAGACATTTTCTTTCGAAAAGAGTGACGTTTTAGATTAAGCGTCAGCATGTTTGCTGTGTTTAACGCTTTTGTTTGTTTTGATTTTTCTCATTTGTTTGCTAGCCGCTTCCTTTTCTTTTTCTTGAATTTGCCTTTTCTCATTTTTATTTCACGTTGGGTTGTTCCATTCACGTCTGCAACGTTTGCATGCCATAATGTAGGCTGTTATGTCAGGAACCAAAGAAACTGGAATTTTATTTGGCTTGCCGATGCCTTAGTTTTATCAAGATAATATTTCTCTTGGTTTCATACAGTCCTGTGCTTTATTTCCGTGTAATTTGCACTATATGTTTGCACCGTTCAGTGGCGTATCAGACCTTCGGGCCTTCGGGCCTCAGTTTGGTGTAAAAATAAAGGGGGGGGGCGGACCCCCGTGCCTCTCAATTTGAAGCTAACTTCCAATTTCAGACGGTATTTTTGTCAGCTAAAAAGTCACCTTTTACGTGGCTGCAGCGGGCCAAGAATAATGAATGCGAATATAACAAAATAAATCATCCCTACCCATGAAAAGCTTAGGTATAGGCCTGCTCAATGTTGCTGAACGCGGTGGCTAAGGCCCCGGCCACACGTATCATATTTTTGAATCCGGAAACGTTTCTTTTCGGATTCAAAAGCCTCTACGTCCACACATATCCGTATTCAAATGGAATTTGCGCGTCCACATAGACTGATTCACTCTCTGTTCGTCAGCTAATTTATTAAGCGATCTTCGGCTCGTGCGAAAATGTTTTTCACTAACACGATTTATTGTCCCACCAAACACTAGTTCGCTCGTTTAACTTGTTTAAGGCTTCCAATTCGTCCGTCCGACATGGAAAGAAGGTTCAAAAGGTCAAGCAACCGTTTGGCATAATTGAGGTACACAGTAATCATAAATAAAGAAAGAAAGAAAGAAAGAAAGTGTCTTTATTGTTCAAAAGATAAAATTACACATCTTATGTTACATTTAAATATAACAATGTTAATGGGCTAAAGTATAATTCTAAATAAGATTAGTATATACATAGAAACAAATACAAAAATCGAATACAGAAACTACACTATTTACAAAGCTACATTATACTTGAAGACAATTCTATTAAAGAATGTATTCTTAAAACGGTCCGTGTCAATGGGGGGCATTAGGGGAGATTTATTCCTTAAGTTCTATCTTGTAATCTTAGTCTCAGAGAAATTAGCTCTAAGAGGGTGGTTCGGGATACTAGAAACCTTACTACAAATTCTATGATCTTGAACTTTAAGTAATTCACCTAACCATGCTCAACCCATTTCGTAATAGGCCATCGAATTCTGCCATGGCGGCAAGCCCTTGTTGAGTAACACTTACGACCTGAGAGAGAAATTCCAAAGACGTGGCAACCAACCGAACCGTTTCCTCTCAAAATGGACTTGAGAGAGTTAAAATCTTCATCCAAGTATATGTTGCAGTAAAATTGAAGCTTAAAATTGATTAAAATAGCTAGTAAAAGAGGAGCCCCAATCCTCTTGGCCGCCATATTGGGCGCCTATTACTGTAATAGTAATAGTCATAGCTAGGTTTAGCTGCACACAGTTTATAAGACTTGAAACTGAAGTCCAAGAAAAGCAATAACATTACGCACAGCACCGTCTTGAATATTCACGGTAAAGAACTTGGCTCGATCTTGTGACGTCACACTGAATAAAAAAAGATTACTATATACATCCGGATTCATAGCGTATTCAAAAGTTTCCAATCTGGAGAGCCGATTAAAAAAGTTGAGGATTCGTATGCCAGATACAAAGGAAAGGGTTGCTGATTAAAAAATATAACGGGGCCGAAATGAATGTGTTTCTTTCGCACCTATGAACAAAGAAATATTGAAAACTGTTCAAGACGATGTTTGATGGAAATTAAACTTCGTTCCACACAGTTATGCAACATAGTGGCCAAACCAGTACAACCAGTTGGATTTAATAATGCTGTATGATAAACAGAACATGTTGCAAAGGTTTAAAGCAAGAACTGAATAAATCAACGGGAATTGCGAGACAGTGGAGAGGATTTACAATTTTGCCCCAAAAGCCTCGGAGTCGTCTAAGAATTTTGATATATCGAGCGGGAGCTTTTGGCGCTGCCGAAAATTATGATACTCACTGATCCTCATGAGACTGGAATAAAAATTACTTTGTCCGTTATAATAAGGAAACTAAAGTTTTTTTGTTTTTTTGTTTTTTTCTAACTGTAGAATGTTCATCATTTCCTTAGAGGTAGTTATAAGTAATTAACCATTCTTTTATCTATGTTATCTAAATATAGCCTTTTAAAAATGTTAATGTATTGTATCTTTTCAATTTCGGGGCTTTGTACATGACCTTACTTAATGTAACAACTGACC